TGCTGCAAGTGTACTTCATTAATATGCTGTGTATTATTATTGGCACAGCAGCTTTGAAATGTTTATTTGCATGGTTTTCCCTAATATAATATAACATGTTTAAATTGTTTTAGAAAATGGGGAATTGTCCCAAATTCGAGTGAAAATGAGGATTAGCTGGGAGTGGTTTAGGTTTCAAAGCTTGGGGAGGATGGAAATGATTATAGGAATGTGACATATCTTTGCTCAGCACAGGGTCTGTCATGTGTGAAGAATGGATGGCCACTTGTGTTCTAATTAAGGTTATCTATCTCATTCTTTTAAAGGAAAGTATCAACATCAGTCTAGACCAAAGAAGCCGGATCTTCCAAAACCTAAATGGAGCATTAGGTGAGATGGAAGAAGGAAGCTCATTTCTCCTTGGAATGCAACTGCATGTTGACACCAGAAACAAAGTTGTGGCTGAAAAGATTAAATTTCAGAAATTCCTGTCCCTGCAGAATAAGCTTCAGTAAAAAGCCTCTGCCAGAGTTCTGCGAAGTATTTGCAATTCCAGTGCGACTGACTAGCTTCTCATTGCAATTCCCTCTTCACTTGGGGGAATGCAGGTCAGGTTTTCCATCTTGCCCTTCCTTGCCACTTTGATCTCCAAGCACGTCGGATTGCATTAGCCTTGGGGATTGAAACCAGCAGGGACTTTCAGTGCAAGTAATAACAGAACCCTGCCTAGGGCTTGTCTGTCTTTCCGCTTCAGAACTGTGTCTGGAATGCCGTAGAAGGTGAGATGCAGCCAGATACTGCCTGTGAGCGCTCACTGACCATACCAGGCTTCTGACCTGACCTGCTGATTGATTGATTTTGCTAGTCCTGGCAAAAGCGATTCACTTACTCTCCTGACACCACTGCGTAATGTTGTCAGTTTGTGGTCTTGCACCACTCTGTCTTTATTCCAGTCAGGTAAAAAATGGTACTGGCAGTGTAGTTTTTGGCTCCTGTGCTCGTTACAACAATGATAGGCTGGAGATTGGATCTGTACTGGTCTGTTTCCCAAAGGGTTTTGTGTTGAGCAGACATCTTGGATGGTCTCTGCCAGGAGGGTGGCCTTTTGTCAGGGGTGAAAAAGAGACAGCAGGTGCGTAGAATGCTTAGGTGAGAAGAGCCTGAGTCCTCCCTGGCTATCAGTAGCTGTTCCTCACTGCACAATTTGTCAATGCCAGTTCTGAAAGGCTGTTTCAGTGTGGCTTCTGCCAGCTCCCCATAGAAGGCATATTTGTCAGCTCAGCAAACTGCGTTCTTTGTCTAGCTTCCCAGCCATCCCTCTGTTACCCCACAGGATCATTCTGAACATTTTTTCTCCGTTCTGGATATGATCTGTAGCCCTTAAACTGCTTGTGCGTGGTTATCCACATCCATGCTTTCATCTTTCAGCAGTTGTTCAGCAGAAATGAGGCACTGTGCTGCTAATTATCAATAAAGCCTTCCTCTGATAACATGATGGCAATGTCATTTCCAGATGAGGTGGTTCTGAAGTTTGAAAACTCACGAGTGAGAGCAAGAAACTTGTTGTATGACACTCTACCTGTGGTGATTCATGGGAATGGACCCACCAAGGTAAGTGGGTGGCCTGAGAGAAAGATTTGGTATGTGTTTGTTGCAAAGTGACCCTTTAGGCTTGAGTGTATCAGGTTGCTGTCTTCCCATATATTGACTTTTCCTGTGTGCCTTTATAGTTGAGAAGCAGTAAATGGTCCAGGTCCATAGCAGCAAGGTGGGTCTGGTTCAAAGATCAGTGTGTAAGTGGACCCTCAGGCTGTCAGGCTTTTCAGATTCTTTAGTGCAAGAATAAGTGAAGTTCTGATGAAACGTGATCTTACACTGGGGGTGGATGCAAAGAAGCTCCCCTGCCCTGTAATGCGTAACGTGGCAAATTGCCTTTTGCAGCTGCAGCTGAACTACCTGGGAAACTATGTTCCTCAAATATGGACGTTTGAGACTGGCTGCACTGTGTGTGATGAAGGTCTGCGAAGCCTCACAGGGTTTAAGGTAAGGCTGATGTCTATTCAAAGCTCTCAAGACAAATCTCAAAATTACAATGGGATCTTACGTGTCTGATGTGGCACATGAGCCACACCTTCTCTCCTCTTCTCACTGAACGTAGGATGAGGCATTGCCAATGATCCTGATCGGCATTTTCATCGAGCAGCCCACCCCATTCCTCTCCCAGTTTTTCTTGCGGCTTCGTAACCTTCATTACCCAAAGCAACGAATCCAGCTCTTCATTCACAACCATGTAAGTAGAGTGGGGCTGTGATGGTCTTAGCAAATGTGTGGAAAATGTATACCTCCTCCTGTACTCTAGGCACCGTTGAACCTTTGACTAGACTTCCAGACTCTGTAATCCCAGTACTTAACCTGCAATGGCACGTATAAGATATCTCCATCCAGCTGTAAAGATGTGGAAGTGGGAAGAGCTGTTGCTTGTCTGATTTGGCATTTTCAAGAACAGGAGGCTGGGCAGCCTGGGATGAGCCCATCTTATCTGTTTTCCCTTATTTTTCCCTTGGCATAGGAGCAACATCACTTGATGCAGGTGGACTCTTTTGTGAAAGAGCATGGCAAAGAATATCTCGCCATCAAAGTGATTGGACCAGATGATGAGGTGGAGAATGCTGAGGCGCGTAACTTGGGCATGTAAGTCAAGAGGCCATACATGATAGCCAGCAGAGTCAGCCTGTGTCCAAACTAAGGCAGTCTGTTTTTTCTGAGGATCATCACTGACAGCTGGATGCTTCTCTTCTTCAGTCACTTTTTTCTTTCCTAGCATTAACTCCCCATGCCCATTATATATTTGGAAAAAAATCAGCTTCAATACCAGCTCCCTTTCTCCCAATTTCAGAAACTAAGTTCCCACTGGTCCTTTGCTCTGTCAGAAGGATAGCCCTGTACCTCCCACCCTCATCAAGCAGTCTATGTGCCCAGTCACAGAGCACAAACAATATGCACCTAGAGCATCTTCCTGTCTGTGATCAGGAGTTGTGAGTTTGAGCTCAGGTCTGGATTTGGGCCAATAAACAGGAACCTCTTCAGCTTGAGCTGAGGAAACAGTTTGCTAAAGGTGATTTTGGCTGTGTCTCAGTGTCTGCTGTTTGATACTGAATCTGATGTGCTTGTAGTATGCTAGTGCTCTGGGTTGTTACATTAAACTGAACTTTTCTGAGCACCCAAAGAAGACCTTTAGATCACAAGGTGAAGGAATTCCTGGTGTCCTGTCTCTTGTCTTGCTTTGTTCTAGGAGGATTTTGGTGTGACTTTTCTTGTTCTCTGGCTATAGGGATTTGTGCAGAAAGGATCCTGACTGTGACTATTACTTTAGCCTGGATGCTGAGATAGTTCTGAAGAATACAGAGACTCTAAGGATCCTGATCGAGCAGAACAAGTGAGTGCTTTGGTCTGAGCAGTCCTTACTGGTCACCTTTCACATGAGGAATACAGTGAGCTCTTTTATCACTGAGAGGTGTAAGGCACTAGGAGAACTACATCAGAGATGGAATGTTAGACAAACGCTTTTTAGTTGGTCTTTTTTTTATTTCTGTAGTTGTAATCCCTGGGTTCTAGGCAGTGGATGTACACCATCCCTAGTTTTGTCTTTATACAGTCACTAGAACAAATGGAATTCTGAGGCCTGCTGCAGGGTGCAGTTAGGAGATGGTGACTGTATTTACTGTTTCTTATGTGGAATTTTATTCCAACAGAGTTAACAGAAGCAGCAACTCTGTAAATGAGGGAGAATCTTAACTCTTACGGTCCTGTGGTTTGTAAATCTTTTCCTTTTCTTCCTGTGGTAACATCCTGTCCTGCAATTCTTTTTTCTTTTGTGCTCATAGGCTGGTGATTGCCCCACTAGTAAGCCGTCATGAGAAGTTGTGGTCAAATTTCTGGGGAGCGCTGAGCCCTGATGGATACTATGCCCGCTCAGAAGATTATGTGGATATTGTTCAAAGGCGGAGGGTGTGAGTATGCAAAGAGAGCTTCTTACTGATATAAGCCCTCAAATGTAAAGCTTGCTGCAGCACATTATCATCAAACTAGCTTATGTCAAAGAACCAGAGAGCACAACTGTCTTTGTGTATAGAAAAGGAAAAGAACTGTGTACTCTTGTTTGGAAACTGCTCTGTGTTCTCCCCTGAGCAGAGATGATAACATACTTTGGGCAGCTTTTCTGATGATCAGAGTAAGGGTGTGAGAGTCCTGACTCTGCTGAAATCACTTCATCTTACTCGTGTCAGGTTTTCCCACCTGTGGATTATAGTTATTGTGATCCTTAAAATCCCATGAAGTGCTGTTTAATCTTTACCAGATAGTCTTCTACCAGGTGATCCTTGAATGGAAGATTCACAAAATACAGTTGTTGGTTCATTCTTATTCTTGAGGGGCCCTGTTTTGTTTAGGCCATTATATGTGTGATAAATGCTGGAAATCAGCTTATGTACTTTTGGCTGGTTCAGTTTTTTTAAATCACTGGAAAAAAAATACGTTGATCTCTCTGGGAAGAGATTCAAGCCATTAATTATGTCTCTAGCGAAAACACACAGTAGCAATTAATTGCTTTCACAGTGGACTAGCATTTGTGCAGCTTAAAAGGTCTGGGCAATGTAAGTGATTTTTCCTGGAATAGCAATCCCTGTTGGTATAGTTTCTCCCTACTGTTCTGAGTTGGCTCATTTAGGCAAGCCTGGCTGATACTATAGTGCTGCCTGCCATCCTGTCAAGTCCAGCAGTTTCTGTCTTAGTGGTATTTCAATCTTACTCTCCTACTCCTGTGTTTCAGCGGGCTTTGGAACGTTCCCTACATCAGCAGCGTTTACATGGTTAAAGCTAAGGCTCTGCGATCAGAGCTTGACCAGGGAGATCTCTTCCACAGTGGCAAGCTGGACGCTGACATGGCTTTCTGCCACAATGTTCGGAATCAGGTCAGTTGAGGAGAGAGCCTGGCAGGGGAGAACTGCGTGCCAGGGTGGAGGTGACAAAATTCAGTAGTTTCAAGGCATTCAGCTCCCCCGGGGCATGGGACAGGATGGACTGGCGTTATTCAGTACTGTGCAGGCTTAGAACAGTGCGGGATTTCTGTCTTGCTGTGAAACCACACAGAGCCAGAGACCACTAAATGGGGAGAACATTTTTGTTCTTGGGCCTATTCAGGGCTGTTCTAATGGGATTGACAGGGTAAGGCTGAAGAACCTAATATCACAGCAGCTGCTCTGCTCTGCTTCCAGCTCTGACTGACAGGAGGCACAGAATTGCTGGCTCTGTATGTAACCTTTCAGAGTTCCTCATATCCAGGTGGAAATTAAACTGAAGGCCCACAGGAGAAAGAATGAGTAATGAATGAACAGCTTGGGCAGAGCCATCATCACTGGGGAGCCGTCCAGTGCTTATATTTCATAGTGGCTCACAGAAATGTGAGGCCCAGAAACAAAGCTTGATTGTTTCCCTCTGTCCTGCAGGGAGTCTTTATGTACCTGACAAATCGGCATCAGTTTGGACACATACTGTCCCTGGAGAATTATCAGACAACTCACCTCCACAATGACCTCTGGCAAATATTCAGCAATCCTGAGGTGAGATAACCGGCATGCTCAGCAGGCTTAGCAGTGTGGCGTATGAAGATTTCGTGACTAACTTCCCCAATAAGGAGGGTCCAGGCTTTGTGACAACGATGTCTCTCAGGTGGGATGAGGAGTGTAGACACAGAATTTAAAGAGAGGGTGTTCATGTGGTTCATCTGGATCTTCAAAGCCTGTGAAATACTGCTGCACGAGTGCCTGGCCTTTCATTGCCTCGTTAGCCAGGCCCCACAGAAATGACTGGTTTGCTTATCTTTTAACTGCAGGACTGGAGAGAAAAGTACATCCATGAAAACTACACAGCAGCTCTGAAAGGGAAATTGGTAGAAACGGTAAGAAAACATCGCTCTTATCCATCAGAATGGGAGATTAGCATCAGGACAGTGCTTGTGTCATCACTATTGTCATTCTCAGGAGTAAGCAGTTCAGCATGGCCTCGTAGTCTTTCAAATCTAGAGGAAACATGACCTTGAAAGTATTTTTAGAGCCAAATCATTCTTCTAGAAGTACATCTCCAGCTCTCTTAAGTGGAAGTGGGGCACATAAATCAGAAGACAATTTTCTATCCTCAGTATTTTAGTTACTTTCCTCTTAAAACTGACTCAATCTACAGTCAGTTTAGTCTTACTCCTTTTGCCTCAAGGACCTTTGTTTCTGCTGTTCTCACCTGTCCTTGTTTCTGCTGTTCTCACCTGCCTACTTTCTGCAGCCCTGCCCAGATGTTTACTGGTTCCCCATATTCACTGACACTGCCTGTGATGAACTGGTGGAAGAAATGGAACATTATGGCCAGTGGTCCACAGGCGACAACACGGTAAGATAAAGCAGGAGCTTTTTGATTTCTGGGTCACATCATTATCCTGTAGGAAGGCATTAGATCCCACAGTTAAACCAGGAAACTGGAGGCCATACTCTTTAACTGTGATTTTTCCCGTGTTCCTAAAAGTGAATTAGTTTTTCTGAGTCTTCTTTAGTGTCCTCTGAAGCTACAGTGTTCAGCCATTCTGATGGTAATACTGTTTACCTTGGGTTTTAAGTATTGTTTGAAATGAGGTTTCCAACATGGAAATTCTGATAAAGAAACATCATGTTTATTTGTAGTTACCAGAAACAAGTGCTTTTCATTCCTGAAGTCCAAGGTTCCCATCCTTATGGGTATTTCCATGACTCTATTTCAGGACAGCAGAATACAAGGAGGATATGAGAATGTCCCAACTATTGACATACACATGAACCAAATTGGCTTTGAAAGAGAATGGTATAAGTTTCTTCTGGACTATATTGCACCCATCACAGAGAAACTGTACCCAGGATACTATACCAAGGTATGTGTACCTGAGCATCAAAACTCACGGTCAGCTCAGCACCTTCTCCAGTTGCAACTTTTGAAGACTGCTAGGATCCTCTAGCATACTATGGAGTAAGACATAAATGTGTGCATCAGGAAATACGCAGTCCCAATGACGTTCTCCTGCCTTATTGTTGCCTTTCTCTCAGCGGTGGGATGCAATTTAAATATGACACCCTGCTCTGCAGCTCAGTAGCCACGGACTATTCTAGCCCTGTAAAAGATGTGCACTTTGTTCTTCTCTCCTGCAGACTCAGTTTGAGCTAGCCTTTGTAGTTCGCTACAAACCTGACGAGCAGCCCTCTTTAATGCCTCATCACGACGCTTCAACCTTTACCATCAACATTGCTTTGAACCGAGTCGGGATAGACTATGAGGTGAGTGTTTGCCAGCGTGCCAAGAACGCAGTACAGCCTCTGAGCAGTCCAGGCAGCTGGACTTCCCTTGTCTGTATCTGGCTTCTGCACACTAAGGATTGCAACTAATGACTGGGCTAGGGTAGAAAGCAGATTTTTGAATGCGTGAGAACACAGGGGATGCCCCAAGCACCTTCTCACGTTTTCAGAAGGGCTCCCAGGAGAAGGCAGAGACCCTCTCCCCGAGGTGCTCTTGCCAAGCTGATGTGTCTCCTGTTTTGTTTCCATCAGGGAGGAGGCTGCCGGTTCCTGCGCTACAATTGCTCCATTCGAGCTCCACGGAAAGGGTGGACCCTTATGCATCCAGGACGCCTGACCCACTATCATGAAGGCCTTCCAACCACCAAAGGAACCCGTTATATCGCAGTGTCCTTTCTTGACCCCTAGAGCCATGCTTCACAGGAAGGACCTTTCCCTGGCCCTGCTCACTGCTGACTTTGAGTGGAAACAGGGAATGCTGCTGAGAGTTTCTAAGGCATTGATCAAAGCTATTTGGCTATTGATTTTTAACAATATTTTAAGACTCCACTACTGGAAGATCTCCTTCTCTGATGCTGCAGATAATATCTAGGAATATTGCTGTAGAATTTGGAAGGAGATTTTGTGCCTTCATTTTTGATTCTGCTCCTCATCTGCTGTTTCTTGGAAATGCGATTTACTTGAACCTTCACTGATTGGTTGGCTTTACAAAAATGCTTTCTTGGACTGGAAATCCAGCTTTTTGGAGGCAAATCACGAGTCTTTCTCCAAGTAGCTGGAAGCCCATTTTCATCCACAGCATATATGGGACTGGACAACAATTCCTGGCTACTATTCCAAATATAAACCAATCAGGGAGCTGACTCCAGGAGTCATAGCAGTTAAATGTCATACCAGATGAAACTCGGTAATGAGAGCCTGAAGATCATCTGATTCCTTACCTCTTTGCAGTCCTTGGAAGCATATCACAAAGTTCAGAGCAGCAGCAGAGGCAATATAGTTAGCTAAAGGAAGGTCTGCTAATGATACTTTACCTCTGGGATTAGACTGAGGAGATAAAAGATGGCCTCCCTGTCTTCTAGTACTGCAGCTGAAAGGAGCATGCATACCCAGACAAATTCAAACCATGTTGGTATGCGTAGATAAAATCTAAGAAAGGGAAGGCTGAGAACAACTAGATTAGCCAGGAGGGTTTCACTGCTGAGTTGTCTCTGTGCTATCCCGTGTTACGATTGTCAAAAGCTCTAATCAATCTCTGGATAACAACCCAGACCCCGACCCCCCATGGTCTTTGGTGGCCTTGTTCCAGTTCTCAGAGATTGTTTTGATAATTTTCTTTGCATCTAGTTTGAAAGGGCCCTCAAAGAGCTGTTCTCTGGTACTTAGATGAAATCATTATTCGGTGTTTCTGTTATTTGAGATTCCAAACCAGACCACTCCACTGCAGACAGTTCTCTAGTGGGGTCAAGGCTGATAGAAGTGAGTGGTTGGGAAATGCTGAGAGATTGTGGTGAACTGGTAGGTGTAAAAATCTGTCTAGCCTAGACCCATGGTTAGAGAGCGAAAGGGGAGAAACCTTTTCTGCCATTGCCTGTGAGATACCTGCTCTGCTTAGCAGAGACAGGCACCGTTAGGCTCTGGCTCTGCCCGACTAGTATGTTTCACAAGCAGTAAACTCACATCATGATCATGATTGTCCATGAGGGGGGAAAAAAAAAAAATCTTCCTCTTATTTCTCTGTGTCTCTGGTTTCCAATGCCTCATTGTCAGGTGTAAAGCCCCTTCGTCTAGGATGGGTTGTACTAGTGCAGGCAGAATAGCTTTAGAGGTCTGAATTCTGGCAGGGGACTTCCTACAATTTGAATGGACCTGAAGAAGGTGACACAGACCTTTTTCCTCCGCTTTCCATGCGCTTTCTAGGTCTATTTCAAGGCTGAATGCTCGCGCGTGCCCGTGGGAGAAAAATCCAGGCAGGGACAATCAGTTTGAAAAGTAAAACCAAGCTAAATGTTGTGAGATGAAATCCAGACCCCTCTGTTAGCAAAGGAAGGGCCTTGCTGGGCCAACCGCGGAGGTGTTTGGAAAGGTGTCTGTATTTATTCAGCAGCATGTTTTTCGCATAGGCTGTGGTGTCTTTCCTCCGCCGGCGTGGCGATGGGAATTAGGAGCCTGTCACACGAGATGTACAGTGCCAGCCGGGGGAACGCGCATTAAACCGTTACCCCACCGGGACGCCGTCCGTGGGTTTCATTCCTG